TCACAGGAAAAGCTGAATCTAAGCTTGAAAAATATCCTTTAAAAGAAAGCACATTAACTTGGGCAACTTCACGTCACACAAACAGAAACAAAAAAATCTGAGCTCTAAATTTAGTACCAGGTTTCCTCACTATTTCACGATTACATTTTTTTAAATGCTAGCAAGTGTTCATCAAAACTTCAGAGAAATTCTTGATCAAAGAAACCTTTCACTCACTTTTCTCCTCCAAGGTCGTTCCATCCACCTCTATGAAAGCCCAAGGGAAGGCACAGTTCTGAACACTTAAATCTCCCATCAATCATAAACTATTTTTTCCTAAGGTTGTCTTAGTTTGCAAAAGAAAAATCTGATCCACTCTTATGATATCCTTACTTTTTTGATTGATGTCATTTGTTCTTCTCTCCATTCAGGTTTGTTTTTCTTTGCATTCATAAAAAATTCATTTACCCTCTGCTCAAGCTGATCCATTGCATCTGTAGCATAGGAAAAGATTGAGACAAATGTTATCTTTTCATGTCCATAAACATTAGAAAATAAGGGGAAACTTTTTTCTCAAACAAAGTTGACAGGACTGAGGTGCAAACTATTAGAGAGGAAAAAAAAAAGAAAAAACCAAAACAACCAAGCAACAGTGGACAGCGGAGGGAAATATTTACCTTAATTTCCAAGAAGCAGAATTGCAATCTGGTAGGATTCTCATCAAGGTTCTTGTGCTCTCCAGCATGGGACAGGCAGGACTCCAAGTTCTAAAGGTTTTTTGTCCCTAAGAGCAGTGGTAGTGACTTAAAGCACGACCCAAACTCCTCACCCAGGGCTCTAGACTGCTGACTTTGGAACATTCTAGCCAGTTACAAACTGAGCAGGAAACAAAATGTTCTCCTAAGAGAAACAGTCAAATACAAAACCAAATAATTGAAAAAAAAATTAGTGTCTCAAAAAGGTAGACCAACTGAAGAGCAAAGTCACTGCCTTTAAGTCCAGGGCCTCTCCAGTGTTTGCTAGGAAGGGTCAGGGCAAATTGAAAGCACTCACAAATTATTCCCTCCACCCCCAAAGGAGTAAATGCACTGATAAAGTATTATTTGGACGGGATTTTCACTTTCACAAAGTTCAGATATATCATAAGGGGAAAAAATAAACCCACCCATTTTCTAACACTAACTATCTCTAGAAAGGAAAATGTCAACCACAAGCTATTTTTTTTTCATTGTTTATTGAGACAGGAACAGGGATTCCCTTCCCTTTCCCCTCCACCCTTCTCCCACTGAGTTTACTATTTCAACAGCTTGTGCACTCAACAGCTTGCACATTTCCAAAAACATGCAGCTGCCTCAGTCAAACCAGCTTGGACAGCCTTGCTAGTGTCAGGATAGATGCCGTTACTGAAGGTTTTTTCCCAGCATTCTCAGTGACACTGCCCAGCTACCCGTTTTACATTAAATTTGACAATGCACAAATCACCTACAAACTTCAGGCTCTGGGTGCAAAACACCTAAGAAACTCTCCAGAAACCACCACTAAAACTGGATCACATCTTGCCAAAACAAAATGCAAATTAATTAATTAGTTCAAGAAGCTCATGAAATGCTAAGTATGATTTACTCTGAAAATCCAATAGGCTAAGGGTCTTCACAACTCTGTGAAAATTCACAGCTAGAACTGTTTATATAATAAATAACCAAAAATCATTCATACTCAATGATCAAAAATATTAATCAATTTTCCTTTTACTGCGAACATTCAGTATCAAACCCAACAGGAATCTAACAACTGACTGGACAGAGCACCATTAATCCCAAGACATAACAGTTGTGATGTTAAGTTCACATTAACTTTATTTAGATCCAGACAACCAAAGCAGTGGAACAGTTCTGGAGTAAAACAGGCTGACCAATGAGCATTTTCCACTTGCACCATGTAGAGAATATTAAGAAGCCTGAGAGGCGAGCAAGAAGCACACAATTTATATGGAGGCTTCTAAAATCTTTGCTCTTTGACCGAATGACACTAATTTGGTCTAAGAAGCCAAAAGACAAAATGTTCTATCTCCTATCCTCTGAGCACAAACACCTTAAGTGTTAGTTGTTCTAGAGGCTCCATAAAGAAGAAATGATAAAAAAGTATCTTCCCTCTTCACTTTTTATTGAGGACATGTTATCAGTCTGGGTGAACTGCCTAGGGGAAAATTTCCACAGAAACTTGGTCTCTCCTGAAAGAGTAGAACAGGAAAAGCCAAGTTCAGGTCAGGTCTATTAAATGATATAGAAAGTTCTCTCTGCTACACTCAAGTTCATCCATTTTTTCTTGTGACACTATATTCTGAGATACTAATTTCTTAGGTTAAATTTCACAAGAGAGTTGCCAAAACTTCTATGAGAACAGTCCCTTTTCTAGATATTGACATTTGACCATGAAATCCTGATAATCCATGATTTCAACTTAAATAAATACATTTAATCCTTCATGTGAAGCTCAGTTAAAGCTCAAGAGTCAAGTCCCAACTCAGATGATCTTTGCTTTTTCCACCACAATCTTATCAGAATATACAGCAGATAGACCCGGTTTTTTGTTTCTTCCAACTACAAACAGCAGAACCTGCCTCATTAGGAGTCAGTGTGGTCCAAACAGGACAGAATACAAAGTCAACAACGACACTGAAGCAGAGAAGCAGAGATATCTCTGAATTACTAATCATGTAGATTTCTGGGACAGCATCACTCATCAAAGCACTGTTTTCAAGTACTTCTGAGACACCAAACAACCTCCAGGTTTGCACATAGTGTTCATCAGGCAGCTGGGCAAGTCATGCTGAAGAGATGCTAGTCCAGAAGTTTCATAAATGTTTTTGGATACCTTGCCAATCTTTTCACAGAATTACAGAAGTACCAATGTCTGAAAAAAATTTTCTCTACACTTAAGGTTGGTCCTAGTATACAATATTCACTGTCATTCAGTATTTCCAGTAAACAACATGGAGTGTTATTTGTCATTTTCGGTTAAAGCAGGGAAAATTACAATCTGCTGTCTTGCCACTGCTAGCTGCCTCAGTTCTAAAACACACCTAAAAAAAATAACCTAGTATTCTCTTTGCCTTCTTATGGAAAAGAAATAAAATAAAATTTGTGAACTTATTCCAAACTATCCATGTCAGGGAGTTGCTCACTCCCCCTCATGATTCTCCCTGGTGATAGGGACTTCAGAGGTGCTATGTCCCAGGAGCCATGACAGTTCCCACAACTTTAATCATTGAACCCAAGACAACATTTAGATGATAGTACACCCCAAAAAAATCCTATAGACAGTTCTACATGTGTTAATAAGGCCTGTTAAACAGACTTGTTAGGTCCATTGAAATAAATATCCAATGGAAATCACTTTACAGTATTACAGTACTACAGAACTGATCCCACTTAGTGCTGCATTTTGTACTCCTATACAGTATTCCATTGTTATTTCAATCGCTGTTCTTTCTCTCATTCCCCTTTGCAAAAAAAGATGATTGCTCTCATCTTTTGTGCAGTAGCAGTTTCATTAATCAGTACTTTTCGATCACAGTTATAGATAACCATGTTGTGTGTTAAATGACTGCAACAGCTATCCTGGGTGTTACAGGACGCCTAAGTTCCAAACAAGATTGCATTAGAAAAGATGAAATGGCAATGCAGCCTGAAAACAGCCTAAGGCAGTGTATTACATCAGGTTATAAGCAGAGATACAAAGTCATCTACAAAGAAACCTGACGTGTATTTATGAATATATTTTGTGTAAACTATATACTTGTACAAAAGTAAGCATTTCTATAATTTGTATAAAACCGAAAGCATAAAGTATATTTGGTCGCATGTCAGCTAGGGCACAAAGGGCCGAGCAAATGGCACCTTCCCATGTTATTATTAGGGAGCTGGCTGGAAAGTTTCAGGGAGAGCATGCCGCTGCCTACTGGCAGGAGTGGGACATAACTCATGTTCCAAACCACCATCACTGCTCTTAGGGATCAAAAATCTAAAGAGTTTGGGCCGTGCCACCGAAAACGCGTTCGGGAGGAGCACAAGCCCAGAAGGCAGCTCCGCTAGGGCGCTCCCTGCGCCGAGGCCCGACGGGCGGGGGCGCGGGGCGGGCCGGGGGCAGCCGCGACAGCGCCGGGGGCGTGCGCCCCGCCCCTCGCTCATCGCGGCGGCTCGGCACGGACTGCGCCAGCGGGAGATGACGAGACACGCTCGGGCCGAGCGGCGGTGCCGGAGAGCCGGGGCTGGGCTGGGGAGGGGGCGCGACCGTCCCGGGGCAGCGCGGGAGAGCGGGCGGAGCTGCAGCCGCGGGCCGGAGCGGCGCCGCTTCGCCTCCTTCCTCCCTGCCTTGCCCGCCCTGCGGCGGGGCCGCGGCGGCGGGGCCGGTGCCCGCGGGGCGGGGCGGGGCGGGCGCGGAGGGGCGGGCGGAGGCGGCGGGGGCGGGACTCACGTACTCTGCACCTGCAGGTCCATCTCGCGCATCTCGGTGAACCTGTCGCGCAGATCCATGGGAAGCTGCTCGATCACTGCGGGGACACGGGGGAGCGGGAGAGAGGGGGGAGGGAGAGAGGGGGGAGCCAGTCAGTCACTCGCTGCCGTGGGGGAGGGGGGGCGCCGCCTCCTCGGCGCGGCTTCCCCCGGCTCCCCCGCACCGGCCGTGCCCGGCCGCCCGGCGCCCCCGCCGCGCACACACTCACTCTCCAGATAGTCCTCCAGGTACAGCATGGCGGCGGCCGGGCCCGCGCCCAGGGGCTGCTCGAGAGCGGGCGCTCGTCCCTTCCAATATGGCGCCGCCGCCAACAACACCAGCGCCTCGACTCAGCGAAAACAACATTGGCGGCGGACGGCGCTCGCCGCGGCCGCGCCGCGATTGGCTGCTCGCGCCGCTGACGCATACTGCGGCCCGCGCTCTGCCGCGCGGCCTCACGGGAAGCGTAGTCTGTGCTGGACGAGCCGGTAGGAGACTGCGCGTCCCGCCCGGCGATCTCGGACCGGCTGGTCCGCGCTCCGGGGCCGTTCCGTGTCCTGGGCCATTCCCGCACTCCGGGATTATTCCCGCGCTCCGGGGCCGTTCCCGTGTCCGGGGCCATTCCCGCACTCCGAGGTTATTCCCGCGCTCCGGGGCCATTCCCGGGTTCCGGGGCCGTTCCCGCCTCACAGGAGCTGCGGCACCCTTCTCCGGGAGCAGCTTTCGGCCCTCCGGAGCGTCCCGGGCGCGACCGCAGCGCCGCAAGTCAGGCGAACGGGAAGGGGAAACTTGCAGCTTCTTGACCACTCTCGAGGCTTTTGTTTGTCTCGTTGTTTTAGATGCTCGCAGCCGGCACTGGTTTATTAAAAGCATTAGAAACGGCAGAACTAATGAAATTGCTTCAGTCCGTGACCTCTGACGGCACAAGTTAAAAAAGCTGCTCCGTTCAGCACAGGTCACAGCTAACGACAGCCTTAGGAGAGGAGAAACGTACGAGGGCTTTGGGATTGCTGTTCAGAGTGTAAAACCAAAATTGGCTGAGAGCACTGATTGCCATCCAGTTACAATACTTGCAGTAATTCACTTTCACTCGTTTGAGACTGGGTTTTTTCACAGAGTTTCATTCCCCCAAAGAGTTTTTTTCATCACTCTTCTATTGCTGTTATTTACTGCTTTAAGCATGGACTGATGCATTTATCCAGATCTGTTTTTTGCCTGGGGAAAGAAAATTTTGGGTCTTGCGTGATGCCAGGTGTAAGTATAGCAGCATAAGAATTGTGGTAACAGAGGAGGTTTACTTTCCATCGTGCTTGTTGTTTCCATGTCTTTATCTGTGCCAGATGTGGCCAAGCAAAAAGGAAATGTATGCTTAAGCCAAGTATGAGTAAAACTTGTATGGTATGTTTTTGAGAGCCAAGACCAATGGAAAGTGGTACTTCTCTCATGTCTGAAGTTCATGTATTGAGAGTAGTTAGTTAAAGATGACTGAATTTTGGGAAGTGAAACATACATTTTGTATATAGCCTTTATGGGTAGTAATGTGTTGGATACGCACGGTATCGCAGGCATGTTGAGGGGTTTTAATTTCTTTGTCATTAAAGATGGGGGAGAATGAAAAAGGTGTAAAAATAAGCTCTCAATAACTTTTCAACTTTGTGAAAAAAGTGCTGCATCAATGTGGTCACTTTCCATACTCACTCCATCATCTGCCATGTAGTCTGCACTTCCAGACCAGAAATATCAACTACTCTTACACATAGAAATGTGAACAGATTTTAGATGGTCATTAAGCTCAGTTAGTCTTAATAGAAATAATCTCTATATTGTTGCTCATACAGATCTCTTTCCTGTAGAACTGACTGGTGTAGGCATAACAGTATTTTTAGAGTTTTGTGTGGGAAATTGCTTGACCCAGTTTGGTATGTAAAACACAAGATTGACCCTTTGTGGGAAGATAAATGCCTGCCCTTACTGAAATGAAAGGGTTTGATGCAGCAGGAGAACTTAATCCATGCAAAAGCACAGCAAAGTAACAACATCCTATATTTATTAGGAGAAAAGCTAGGTAAATTTAGGGGAAATCTGAATTGATGGCATCACTTTATTTTGTGCTTAGTTGCGGCTTTAATGATTTTTAAAGAAAAAAAAGTTGTACACATGTTGGGGAGCACATTTAATGCAGCTGAAGTCTAAGAACAATACTGTAAACAAAGACACCACTTTTAGAACCACAACTGAAATATGGTAATAGAGTAAGTCCCTACCATTTGTCACATGACCAAAAATCCCAGGACAGCACAAACATTGGTACATTGTGACTTCTCCTCTTCTCATCTTTGCAAGCTTGGGGCTAGCTGGCAAAATTCTCAGTGAGGCTTACTGTGCCAGGGTATTTTATGTATGTTATGGTGCACAGACCAAGGAGACCAAGGAACACAGCTCTTGGGGCTGTGTCTCAGCCATTTCCATTAGTAATGGCATGTGCTCTGTGTCTCTTAATGAAACAGGAAAATGAAGCTCAGCATGCCAGAAGAATGACAAAGTACTAGTGGGGCTGGATGCTGTCTGCAAGTTCAGAACTCCCCCTGTTTATGTGTAGTGGTTTATTGTAATGTGAGTCTCTTACAGAAATAGAGACCTGCTCAGAAAACTGTTTGCTGTTCCCTTTACAGTAAGGGATGGCAGGGGATTCTGAGGTAAACTACAAAGGAAAATACAATTCAATGTGTTCACTACTGAAAAGAAAACAGGGACTTATTTATCTACGTGGGTCTTCTTTAGTACTTTTTAGACAAATGAAAAAGCTCATATTTTTCCTTTCTGCCCATATTAACTCATTTTGTATAGTCAAATGACTATACACCAGCTTCAATAGGATTGCTTGTGTAAGAGCTGTTTATCATGACATAGCAATGGCACCGAGTTTAAGGTGACATTTAAGAAGTGATAAGCCAAGAGACCATAAAAAAGAAACTGTTTTTACAATAGAAAACTTCCTGTTGTTTATAAATGCGAAGAATTAACTCTATTGATTAACTCAACTTTTAGAACAACCTAATTAGAACAGCTTCTGATAAGGAAACAGGGATTAATGATTGTTTATTGGAATGCAAATACAGTGAAAAAGAACTAAACACCAGCTGTGAACTCAAGGTAAAAACTTCAATTTGTGAATTACAATTGACATTGCTCAAAAAACTCCTTTGCAGCTACAGAGCTGATTAGCACAGGAAGCGAAGGGAGGCCACAGGAGCTGCTGTTTTCTCCTGTTTATATAATGTTATTAATGTTGATGGCTTTTCTCCAGCAAATGTTTCACATAAATCATGTTTCATCACTGTGACGGAGTGATGGCACAAAGGAATATTATAGATGCCCTGTGATCTACCTAAAGCTAATTGCTTGCCTAGGTTTCATTAGTTTTCAGCTGACAGGAAAAAAAAAAGCTGAAACATAAATTTATGTCCTGATGTGCGCTTCTCAGATGGGGGTTAAGATTTTCAAATCTCCCTCTCTCTGCACTTACCCATTCCATATCTCTGTAATGCCCTTTTTCTATTCTAATTGCTTCTATCTCTTCCCATATGTAGAGCTGTTTGACACATCTGACTCCATCATTTCCATCTTCGTGTTGCAGCTGCAGTCTATCTGTTGATACCACTCTTTCCTTCTTCCTTCCAAATCCATTCAATCTTCTCAGCTGTATGATTGATTGCTGGAGCTTTCTGTACCCATTTAGGACTGTCACAGTTCTGTATTTACTTCAGTACTCTGATTTTTAACTCTTACCTAATATCAGCGTTTCTGGACTTACAGTCCTTACATTTTGTTTCTTTGTTTTCAAGAAGGACACATTTCTAATGATATTATTTGAAAAAAAAATCAGGGAAGACCTACCTAGCCCATCCCTAGATTGTTATTCCGGGTCTCAGCTACTGCAGGCAGGCTCCTGCACTGTGCTTTCTCCCAAGCAATCCTCCCTGCCTGTGGCATGCAGAGGTTGCAGATGTACATCTGTGTGTTTCTCAGGGCTCTCAGGACTTCCAGACAGAATGACAGCTAAGTGGCATCCACCAGAGCCTACATAAAACTGCAAGCCTGGGTAGCTCTTAAACTACCAGAAAGGAGCAGTTTGGTTTTCTTTGGCACCTGCTCCTGCTGCACTCCAGCAGTCCTGTGAGGCAGGCCAGAATCCATTCACCACGGTGCACTGCTGCGAGCATGTGTCGTGGATCGCAGAGTTCCCAGCAGTTCTGGCTGTATCAGGCCTGCTGGTCTCCTCGCATGCTTTCAACTGTTTTATTGTAATTCCTTCTCACATCCTGTTTGTTGCCTGCTATTTTTCTGCTGTTGCAGCTGTTTTTTCCATTCCTTCCAGTCCACCCAGTTTTGCAGTCCAGCTGTCCCTCCCAGCTGCCATGGACTCCACCATCTCCCAAATTCCACCCTTTCTGCTGCTGCAGGGGCATCACCCACAGCCTCACTCTCCCTCTGCAGGAAATAACTATCATTCCTGCTGTACTGCACACCATGGCTATTGGAGGACATTAGTTAAATAACTGAATTGTCTTGAGACTGAGCACTGTCTAAGGATTACAGCATGATTGTATTTTTTCTGAGCAATCAATTTTATGTAATGGGAAACTGCATCCAAAGCTGGATCCTAGGAAAAAGCTGTGTCAGAGTTTTAAGTACATAATGTTATCCTAGTCTAGTGCAGCACTATGCAGAAACTTCACACTTCCATGAAACAATCCCTGAAAAGGGCAAATTTGGCCCAGAAATATTGTGTCTGGATGGTAATCTCTCTTGAGAAATCAGTTTCCTTTTCTGCTGATTACAAACTCTTGGATTCTGAGATTCACGTTCCTGTTTCTGGAAGAAAATCCATGACCCCAGATAATTAATTTGTTTTAACAGTCAACAGGAAAATGGAACTGCCATTTATCTTTCAGCTTGACTTTGTGTACAGACTCAGGCAATTATATCTCCATCTTTTAGTTAATTTTATCTACTACAGAGTCAGTTAAATTTGCTTGCAGATTTCAGTTATTTCCGGAAAATCTGCAGGATATGAGCAATTGCTGTTTATATATTAATCACTGAAATGTTTTATCCCGACTTCCTAAGGAAATAAAGCTTACATGAGCAATCCGTATGTTTATGTGAATACTTCTTTATCTGTTTTTTTTTTTCATTCTGCTCTGTCTCTATAGAATTGACTAATTTCAACTTAACTGAAAAAAAGCAAAGTTGCTCTTTTAGAGATTGTATACTAATTAGATGCTTGCCTGCTGCTAATAGTTACGGAGCTTTTCTCCCTGCAATATGAACCTTCCATACATTAGACTCAAGAAAATCTACTCAAAAGCAATGAGTACCCAAACCATTAAAAAATCTTCTGCTAATGAACGTAATTTATGAACAAGGAACCAACATAAGCAGTTTTGGTGCTCACAGAATGTCCAGGTTTGTCTGCTTGATTTTCTTGCCATCCTGAATGCTGGACCATGTGGCAGTAAATTGGAAAGTGATTATCTTAATGATTACCTAAACATTTTAAGTAAAATTTGACATTTCAATTGCCTTTAAGTATTTATCTGTAATGAAAGACATTTTCTGCTTTTTTCTTTTCAGATTTATACATGTATTTTTTTTCATCAGGCCAGGACATGCTTGTACCTGGAATTGGCTCATATCTACTAGTTTCCACCAATAAATGCTATAAATTTTTGGTATGCCATGAGTGGCAAGACGAATGTGGGATATGACACCATCTATACCCTGTGCTGATCAGAAGATGTGTCCTCTGAGAACTGACGTCTACAGATGGAGCAGGTAAAAAAATAATAGAGCTGAACAGTCTTGTGCTCAGAGCACACATCTAGGAGATGACAATGCAGTTGTATTACTCTCCACTCAAATTCATGCTCTTGTAGCCTTCTTTGTCTCTGGAGCAAATTCACCGAAGTTGCAAGTGGCAGCAGAGGAAGGAAGTAACTGAGAAATTTGCCAAAATAATGACATTATGATTGACTGGAGTAGCTCAGGTGACCCAGAATAGGATACAGACTTTGAGGGCAGGCATGAATCTTCACTGCTTCTGGATTTACACAGTCAGATATGTGCAGATAACCCAGGAATCACCTATTTCATGGTTTCAAGAGCTGTGCAGAGACTGAGGCACTCAAGAAACTGGAATTCAGACTCAGAGGAGTTACAGGACAGTCCTTGTGACAGAAGGCAAATACCCTAACTTCTTACCATGGAGAGATGATGTACTGCAGTTCAGCATAAGAATGAAAGCATTACAATATCAAACAAAATCTTTTGTTTGATAATGTAAGGCAAAACTTGGGGCAAAAAAGGGAGAACAACTGATTTCCTTGAAATTTTATTACCATATGTATTCAAAGTGGTAATAACATTGTAGCTGTGATACTCTCAAAGATACAGGCAATTTGTCTTTTTGGGGAAGCTAACTTCGATGATAATTATTATTTCAAGGTGTATAGAATTGATGAAAATACAGACAACTTGGAGAGCACAGAAGTTCCTCTTCACCTGTCCTATTGACTTCTGTTATCTGATTTTTTAAACTTTCACATGATCTAAATGTACCTATTTTAGAAGTATAGCTTAGCTTACAAGTGAACAGATCCTATTCCTTACTGGCTTGAATCAGCATGCTTTAAGGCTGTTATGGTTTATTATTTTTGTTTTGAAATGCAAATTCGTGGTCCCACATGCAGTGAGCCCTGTTGTGTTAGTTCCTACAGAAATAAAGAATAAAAGGTGATGATAGGCTAAGTTAATTTGTTTTTCATCTCATGCACTGAAGGAGTAACCTTACCATATTTTTAGATGAATTCTAAAGGTTTGCAATCAGCACATACCATAATGATGCCTCATCTTTGCATATATGCAAAAATCCCTAATGTAAGCATGTACAAGGTTATTTGAAAATGCACTGTGAAACCAGAAGGGGCAGTAAGTGCCATTGCAGTCCATTTTAGAAGGATTGCTCTTCTTCCAAGTTCTCAGACTTACTCTGATATATTTCTTATTCTGATTTTATTTCTTTATATTTCTTATTCTGATTATCTTTCTTTGTTTCTTTCCATTATTCTGATATATTTCTTTCCAAAAGAGAAATATTTTTTTTTAGCGCACATGGAGAGCTTGCCTCTCTATGTGTCAGGATTGTATTTCAACAAAATATGAAGAGAACTACACAGTCACAGTCACTTGGGACTTCACTTGCATAATAGTAGTTGCAATGAACAGCCTACTTTCAGGGTAGCAAGTGACAGGAGTGCCACATAACATGAACAGAAGATCTTACTAACAAAAGAGTTAATTTTCATGAAGAGGTTCTAATTTAGAAATTCTTCACCTCTCATTTTCATGCATGTTGTTGCAGAACTGTCTGGTCTTTTTTATTTGCATATGTTATATCTATTACATTTATTTGTATCCCAGAAGTTGTAAGAAACAGGATAAAAAAGCCCCTTTTTCTAGTCTAACCTGATATTGAGTATCTTTCATTGATAGGGAACAGATTTAATTTTAAAAATCTTATAAATCATCAAAAACTCATTTCAGTTTGACCATGAAGGTATTTATATTCTGATAAAATTAACTTTAAGAATTACTTTTGTTAGCAGTGAAATGTGATACTCCATGATTGACAATGTTCTCTACACAGAAAGGGATACTCTTTCTTGAAAAACTTGACAGAAAGTGCAAAGAACTTCATATATCTTCCAAGACAATGTTTTGCAAACTTTTGAGAAAAATCTAGTGGCTCCTAGATTATGTGCCTAAGGCATAATTTTAAAACTATCAGGTCAGACAATGTTGTAATTCAATAACAACTCCTAATAACATAGTAAGAGATGAATATTTGGTGAAAATAAAAATAGGTCCTAATTTTTTTTTATTGTGTATGTCAATCTCTCTTTGCTGTAATTATGTCTGGGCTGTTTTTCCATTTTGAGGCTAAATGCAAAATCAGATTATAAATTAGTCCTTCTAAAGAATACTTACTGGTTAAATAAAAGCCTAAAACAGTATGTCTTAGCAGTTATTTTCTTTTGTAAACAGGATCAACACAAACAGTGCTGCCAGACGAGAATGATTAATGGTTCAAAACACTATAGATCTGCATTATGTAATGCATCTCATATCCTTGAAATGAGGATTGTAATTTGTCATTGTTGTCTAGAGCTAAAATTACAACAGGTAATTTGCAAGAATAGATTGTAGTGTTTTATAATTGCTTTTTTAAATTCATATGGTCTTATATTTGAATAAATATTAGATCTCAGAGCAATGCATTAATTTTCTGTATAGTGACGTGCAATGGCTGGAAAATCAATTATGCTTTTTATTTTTAGCTAAAATGACCTCTATCATATTTCTCATATGGTGTGGTACCCTATAGGTAGTACCAGAATACAAGCACATTCCTCCCACCGAGAAGTACTAATTTTCTACTTTTATTTCTTTATCTCTACTCAGCCATGGGATTGGCAGGGTTCACAGCTAACCCTTGAGGTTAGAGCACATTCTGACTGCTCATGGGAATTACTTTTTGGTCTGTTGTCAGCATGCCCTTACAGGGGGCTGTTTTCTCATGGGCCTTCTCCAGCACCTCTCCTTGCCACTACTGTGTGCCGCTCTTTCAAACAATGGCCTTGGCTCATTCCAGATATATGGTTTATTGTAGGCTGTTGAGTTCATTAAAAGGCACATGATAATTCATAATAAAAGAATTTCTCTCTCTGAACCTCTCTGTACTCAATTATAGAATTGCAAAAAAAGAAAAAATCATGTAAGAGATGCCAGATAGAAAAACTTGATTCACAGCAGTTTGTTTATTTGGGGTGTTGTTGTTGTTATTGTTGTGGGAATGTGCTAAGAAACCAACATTTTGTGTTGTGATATGGTCAAATGTGCTGTAATTGTCTGAATGAGAAATTCCATTAAATCACTGACTTGTGGTTCTGGAATTGCTCAGTGACCTCAACTGCTGGACGACAGCTGTAGCCTGCCTTCTTTATTTACTGATGCTGGCTCATAAATGTATCTTGCTAGCTTGGACAACAGAGACAAGTCCCTTGTGGTCCACTTTGTTGAACTTGACTGAGGAATGTCTGCCCCTGCAAAGAAAAATATTTGGTTTCCAACAGAGAACTAGAAGTTTCTGTGCCAAATGGGACAGTGTTTGGAACAAGCTAGAATAGAATGGAAAGAAGATTACATTGTCATGCTAGGACTTAAAGTTACTATGTAGGTACCTAAAATTGAAATACATCCATACAGTTACTTATTTACTGTCAATGTTCTCCCTTTTCAATCAGTGTTAATTGCATGAAACTAATGTATAGTCATTCCTTAGTATTTTCTTTAAAAAAATATAGGCACATTTCCTTAAATAGGCAGCAATATGGTCACATCAAACTGTTTAAAAGAAGACAAGTGCATGTCACATCAGTCTTCAAAGACTCTACAGGGTCCTGCAAAAATTCATAGTAGCCAGAGCTAAATGCCTTTGTATGTAGTGTCACATGTACATTTAAAGTACAGTCTGGAGGTACTCTGTGTCTGCCGCCTGTCTCAAAGATGTGAGAACTTATTCACTATTAAGAATAAATATATTTTATGGTTTTTAGTTCAGAACCAGCATATATGAATCAAGGAAAACTGTTGTCATTTGATGATGACTTCAGGGTTGACTTTTAGTCACTCCCTTCCAAACACACATCCATTCCATATATGTATATATGTGTGTATGAGTGCACATATATATACACATGTGTTGGCAGTGGTACTCAGCACTTGCTCTTGATAAAATGTTTCATTATCTGTCCCTGCATAATTCATTTCAGTTAGCACAATATAGACTTAGAGGTTCAGAAATGGAAAGAGATAGGAAAATAAAAGAATGCACATTTTCAGTGAAGACATCTGTGTGGTTCTATACAAAAATTTTACATGACTGAGTTGAAAAAGGGCACAGAGAACACTGTAAAGGTAAGCTATAGAATTTAATGCAATGTCATAAATTTGTTGTATTTTATTAATTTTTTTTGATATTACATGAGGAAGTAATGGTCACATTATATAATCTCGTGAGATAATGTCAAAAATAAAAAAGATGCATGCTTATATAAGTTCTGTTCATTTTAATTTCTGTAGAACCCTGCTAACCTCCTCACCTCTGATGAGTTCTGAGGGATTTTCTGTAGAGACTGCTCTTTAGTCTGTTCACAGGAAGGCTGAAGGCATGGATACAGCTGGACAAGACACGTGCCTTATTCAGTGAATTACTAGTAGCTATCATTTACTGCCTTTCTACAGCAGTGACAAAATAGTAACAGAGAGCAGAACTCCCATATCGAGTAACACACACACACACCAGCTGTCCCTTTAACCCACTGCTCTCCTCTTTTCCCAAAAAACCTTTTTTTTCCATCTTTAGATATTATATGTTTTTCCCTTATGAATAATAGTTTGTTTACAATGTCACATCTTCAATACCTTGTGAATTATGGAAAATTCTGTTATAATAAAAACAAAATACTTCACATTGATAAAAGACACGCAGAAGTTTGCCTTTCATGTTAGTATTTGTGCAACTTTAAGAAATGTCTTTGCATCACATACACAGGTGCCAAATGATGCAAGGAGTTACCTTGGATGCAACACTGAATGGCAAAATCAGGCTTCATAATAGCTTTATCTTAATCATCTTCAATTTTTCCATATGTTCCAAGTATTTTACTGCATATAGTGAACATGGAGCATAACAGATCTGTGGATTGAAGGATGATAAGTTTCAATCATTACTGTCCTGTTTTAGTAATAAAACACTTATTTTCCTATCATTAATTGTATATAAAAAAGTAAAGTAAGACAGAAAGCATGTATGTACTTTTTATACATATCTTAAGATAGTGTGAGAAAATTTCTCCCAGTGGAGACTTTACTACTTAAGACTGCATAAATCATGGTGATCCCATTAAAGGTCCATAACTGGTGCCACACTGTGTTTTATAGAAGAAAGTTATGGTATAAAATGGTTAGTTTGAGAGGGCACCCAAGGTAGCACAGAATCTGTTACTTGTCAGGTGAGAACAGCCACTGTTCTATAACTTTCAGACTGCTATCAAAGGATGCTTCCTTCACTGAATATGAATTTCATATGTGAAAGAGCTTTCATTTAATTCTTTGTATTATAAAATTTTCTTGAAAGAAAAAAAGGAAATGTACAAGATATAGTGCTATTCATAAAGAACATAAACTTTACGAACAATTCAGATTATTCCTTTCATAAAATTGCATCACTCAAGCTTAGTGACCAGCTTACAGAACTAACAAAACATTCTTAAACCTTCATGCTCTCAGGTTTAGAAAATAATAACTAACAATGGTGAGAGACTGTCAAAGTTTAAGAGTAGAACATGTAGCTGGTAAATATATAGGTTATATTTAAGAGTGACAATAGCATGAAAAAAATGCTAACACAACTGTAAATAATCAGCTTCACATTTAAACTAGGGTCATGTCAAACATAACTCCCATTTTTGTTGTTCAGACACCTAATTTTTTTTTTTTATTTGGACAGCAGGGAAGGTTTCTTTTTCCTGTGTTGCTAAGTAAGGTACATTCTTAACACCTTGTATATAATAGTTTGAAAAAATCCTCCTCACCTCCCGCTGCAGTTTAATCATCGCATGGCTTCAGAGAAGGAAGGCACCAGTGTGGACTAAAAATGGACAGATATAGAAAGAGAGGAATTTTTAGGAGGTGATTTCTCTTACATCAGGTGGTAAAAGCAAAGTTTTACTGAGGAGTGCTTACTTGAAAATTAAAGACTTACCTGATCTTCTGAAAAAATAAAGACAGAGAACATAAGAACTGTCAATATGAGAAATAAAAGAAGAATGGCGAAGCTTACAATGAGGATCCCTAAGTTGTTGTAAGATTTGAATACCAGAATTCAGGATACAGAAAATGAAATTGTTGATGATAACATTGGGGGAAGAATTAAAATAGATTTATAGGTATGAAAGAGGGGCAACATGGCACAGAGTAACACAAGCAGACATGAAAGAAGACTGAAAGAGAGTACTGAAACTCATGGTCACTTATGAAAGACCAACATAAAGCCAGTAAACATGTTGGAAATAGTGGCTGGTCAAAAGTAGTTTGGATGGTCATCTCCTAAACTGGTCAGTGTTTTAATGAAAAGAAACTTTAACTGAATGGATATTTTGTAAAGAAATGCAATAACTAGCTTTAGCATGTTTTTTCAGATTGTTTTTTCTGAAGTGATTGCTCTCTTCCTTCATCATTAAAAAATTAAAATGTATTATTCTACTGTTGAAATTATATACTTTCAACTTTCACTTCCCGTTACCTCTAGTCTTCTCGAAACTTGTTACCAGTGTAGCTTTTCCCTCTCAATAAAATGTTCTGTGCTTCTCTTGGCTTGTTAATAGTCAAACATAACATCTGGCATTAGATTTTGACCCAAGTGTGGACTCATTAGTTTTTAAAGCCATATAAAAAAAATTCATTGTCCTGCAGTTAGTTACTATTTAAGAAATGGATTTTATAGGCAACAGAGGATTTTTTAAAAATGAAAACAGAATTGAACATTCTGCAATGAAAACTGACATCCCAAGTTCCAGAAAGTATATTCTTGGTGCTCAGTTCAAGGCTGTGGCCAGCACTAATCAATGTAGCACCAGTACAGAGAAGGTGTTGTTATGATGAGACACAGATGAAGTTCTTTTTCCTTATCTCCTAGACCCTGTAACTCCTTATAAATCCAAGATATCCCCAGAAGTGTCCCCAAAAGGTCTCATACTATTTTAATCAGTTTTGTGTCTAAAATACTGCTGCATGTAAAATTTGTTCTGCTCCTATTTTTAATGTCTTACTGGATTGAATTAAATGTTTTTTCTATAATTAGGAAACATGAATAGCAATTTAGGTATTCGGCTGTTGAAAAACCTGAAAATGAATTCTAACTTGGAAAACAGATTGACTTCTTTTTCATTCATTAAAAAATGAAAAGGAAAGCACAGGCTAAAAAGATTACCTGAGGCAGGCAGGTCTCATTTGCAAAAATAACAACAATATAAACATGTATTCCATAAAAGCCAAAGTAATTAATATCTGTACAGCCAAGTGCATATAAGAAGTAGTTCATACACAGTGAGAACTAGAGCTATTAAACTAGTCTATTAATCTGTAAAGCAAATTTTGTGATCAGTTAGCAATTTTTCAGTCTCGAATACAACATTTTATGGGAGTCTAATTAGATTTGTGTTTCAGCTCTGGGAATACCACTGTGTGCACTTTTTCTAATGTTTTATAGGCCATAACAAGTTGTTCCCAGGACACTTAATAGACAAGTCACATTTTCATTATTCACTGGAGCCTTGAGTACATTTAGGACATGTCCTGCAGAGCTGCTCATTGTAGTGGTTCAAGGACACCTAGTGCTGTGGAACAAATGCTTTATTTACAAATATAGACTTAATGAGTTTCTGAAGCACAGTAAGATATCCTTTCATCCTGAAAGAGCTGATACATAGTAGTGTGGTGCAAACAGAGAAGACAATTCAAATTAAAACATGTCAGAGCTATCAAAAGCATCCCAGTGGTGTAGTAGTGAAGTAAGAGTTCTTTGATAAGAAATCCCCTGTGACTGTAATGCCATTTTAACATCTTCCAAATGTCATCTGGAAAATCATGGATAAATGACAGAAGGTAAGTGTCCAAGTCACTGATATGTTAGCTCAGAGCACACAATTCTCTTTAATAATGGTGTTTTAGTGTTGCACAAAATTGAGCTTTAAGGCATTTGATTCTCTAACTGTATTTTTCAGAGTTGCCCACAAAGTCATTTTACACTCATTCTAGCATTGCCAGGATGTTATACTAAAGCTGTACATCAGTTCTGTACCTCTTTTTGTGCCCAGTATATCTTATGTGGTGGATGATGTAGCTGTGTTCAGCCACATCAGTGCCAAAGGGTGGTAGCACAGGAACTGATGATGTCCTGCACCACTGAGTGGCAGGCCAGTTCTGCATGCTTATGTCTGCACTGCAAATCCAGCACCATTCCTCAGTCCTTCAGTGGCCTGTTGTCCATGGGAGTAATGCATCAACATTTCAATAATACATTGTTAACATGACAAGCAGCCAATTGACTCTTGAAAAATGGGCTACATTATAAAGAGACTCTTTGTGGTGGAACTTTAACCAAAAAATGCCATAAATTCTCAGCTGCCTACTTAGAAATCAAAATACTTGAGAATTACAACTACTTGAGAATATAATGAGGTTTTGTGTTCAGATGAAGCTGTACAATATTTCTGCTGTATGTATTTATGATGTAATGCTGTTTGTCTTGCAGCAAGGGTATAGAGGCTTCACAGAAAAATCAGACCCTACACAGAGTACTACTCAAAAAGTGTTAGCACAGAGACGGATCAGGTTTAGGGTACAAACAACCTACTTCAGATAACTTTCAGGAAGTAGAAGAAAATATCAAGGAAGTCACGTCATCCACTGTCCTGAAAGATTGTTTTGGATTTTGACTGAAATGAAAGCTAGTTACTTGCTGACTCTCATAATACTAGCCTAATAATTCTTGCATACAGTGTTTCATATTGCAGAAATGTGAGACTGATTACAGTGAAGGAAAAATATGGTCATAACCTTGGTCTCACTCATCATTCTGTGGAGAAAGACAGCTTTAGTTTAGATACCTAAATATGTCACTTCTTCCACATCCAAGTTCAAAGCAATTAAAACATACCATTTGAAAATTTAAGATATTCCATAAAAGAAAAGATGAATTGACAGGCACCTTCTCATAAAGATTTGCCACGCCTTTTATATATTTTTGTTTAGATAACCATCTTGGCATGTGTATACCTTTTTTCCTATAGAGATCCAGTTATCACACATCAGAGTTAAAAAGCCATGGTAAAATCTGTGTCTTCTGATATGGAAAAAAACTTTATTGTAATTAGTATAAAATTGTAGCCAGACAACTTACTTTTCTTTCCTTCTATGAAGGACATCTGTCTAAAGCATTTTTGTTTCATATTTCCTGCCAGACTTTGTAATAATAGCAAAGTAAT